TTAGGATTCAAGCACTTTAGCTCCTCCATTTTATCCTGAAATTCTGCCTCAGTAGTTGCCTTACACACTGCCCAGAAAAGCATTTTCAACTCATGACTTTTAAACCCATCCTTCAAAAAATTGGCATGTAGATATCTAGCACAAAACCTATGCTCAAGCCCTGGAAACAGTTCCTCCACAACAGGTATTAAACCCTTTTATTTATCAGAAATTATAGTCCAAGCACCAGTATTATTAGACAGATTTAAGTCACTGTCCAATAGCTTTAAAAACCAAGTCCATGATTCCCTCAACTCACCCTCCACAATTGCAAATGCCACTGGAAAAATTCTATTATCACCATCTAAACCTATAGCACTCAGTAATTGCCCTCCTTTTTTAGAACCCTTTAGGTGGCAGCCATCTAAACCAATAATGGGTCTACATCCTCTTACAAATCCTTCCTTGCAAGATCCAAAACAAATGTAAAGCCTTACAAACCTAGGCCTTCCATTAACCATGAATTCACTGTCTAACTTCATTTTGACAGTGGTTCCATGATTACTTCTTCTAAGCTCTTCACAATAATTTTCAATTTCATGAACTGTTCTGAGTCTTGTCCATCTATTTGTTTTAAAGTTTTTTTTTTTTTTTTTTTTTTGGCCAAATAGGCTTGGTTTCTTGTGAGCTGGTAGTTAAACTTGGACTTCACATGCTCCTGAAATGGTCCTCTACCCCATTCTGTATTCACCCTGAAATCATCCTTAAAGAATTTTGCTAAAAATCCAGAAGTTACAACCTTGTTTTCATCTTGATTCCCACATGTGTGGATAAGGTTGTGTGTCTTGATAGTAAATGGAGAACTTGGATTGCATTTAGAACCAAAAATATACCTTACAGATGTTATGGTGTCTACACACAACCCTAACTCTTCTTCCCTCATTATTCTTAAACATAACATCCTTCTGCCTCAAACTTTTACGGTACTGAACTGCCCACTTGAATTCTTTTGAAGAAGCAAACACCATTCCAATCACAAAAGTAAATCCTTCTTTATTTAGATTTCTCTCTTCAAACACATTTAGTGGCCCCATAACTTGCCCCTCTGAATCTGAATCACACAAACTCCTTAATACTTGTTCAGACAGATTACAATTAATCTCCACAAAATCCTCTACCTCCATTGATTTTGAACTTGTAGCAGTGTCCATAAGATTGTTTGCATCAACTCCTTCCACATCATGTCCTTCATCACCTGCTTCAACTTCATCACATCCTTCAACAGAATCACTTTCCAGACTAACTTCTTCATCATGTAATAAGACATCATCTCCTAGTTCCCTAGAGATTTCTACATCATCATCCCACTGATTTTCATGCAAATGCTCTACATATATGTCCACCTCTTTGTTCACTAAAATTTCAGTAATCAACCTTAGGATATCAACATCACTATTTATCCTTAAAACTGTAGGTTTTCTTATGTTCACAATCTTATACCAAAACCATGGTTGCAGTAGGCGCTAGGCGCTAGTCGGGCGCCCGGACAGCGCCTAGCGCCTAGGCGGAATCTAGGCGGGGCTAGGCGGGCGCCAAAAAAACAGTGGTAGATTTGCAGTTTGAAAATTTTAATGAGGTTGTTTTCAACATTTAATCACATAACACACCCAAATAAATGAATTAATGATAATTCATAAGTCATAACATCAAAACAATGGTTTAAAAAAAAAACATTAAAACAATATTAAAAATAAAAAATACTCAAATATGAAATACTCAAATACTTCAATCATCCAAAGATTCAAAGTATCAAACTAGTCTACGAGTGTATATATGTCATATTATATATATGTATGCGCACGCACACACACATACACACACACACACACACACACATATGTATAATAAAAAAAATAGGTCAAGCCAATCGAGTTAACTCGACCAAAATGGACGAGTTAACTCGACTAACTTAGACGCTAGGCGGACGCCTAGGCGACCGGAAACCTAGGCGGGCGCTTAGGGGGAAAATCGCTACGGTCTAGAGGCGCCTAGCGCCTAGGCGGGCGCCTAGACCGATTTTTACAACCCTGACCAAAACTGAACTTTTTTGTCACAAAACCTAAGCATTCTGACCATCCTTCTCAATTCTAAAATACTACCTTCATCACAATTAAAATGGTCAAAAAAACTCCACCACCCCATTTTTATAACTAAACCTAGGTTTGAACACCAAATCCCCACCAATATGCAGTTTCACTGTAAAAACAGAATCTTCCTCATCGTCATCTAGATACAATAAAGATATAATAATCAACAAAAGTTAAAAACCAAACAAAAACATACATTAAAGACAAAAAAAATAAGCACATGGTCCCCACCCCCAAAATATGTTTATACAAAGCTAATAAAAGTCAGACCAAAAGCCAACCAGTGCACCCTTCCCATCACTGGTCCCCACCCCCAAGGTAACTAGTGGTGCTGGAATAATCACTTGTCTCCCAAGGTAACAACAACACTGGTGTGTACCTCAAAGTAACAACAGCAATAATAATAAATGCACTAGTGTCAACCTCAAATACACTACGAACCAACAACATTAATGCATTGGTGTCTACCTCAAATAAACTATGAATCAACATAAATACTCATGTAAAGGTTGTATGCCTACCAATAACCTAATCTTTGAAAAAAAAAAAAAACCCTAAGTTTTATGGAAAACTTACAATTTGGTGTAGTATCAAACACATTAATCCTCCGACTCGTCCTGGTGTTGCTTCAATGCCTTCGAATTTGCTCCAATGCTTACGATTTTGCTAGGATTTGGTGGATTTTGGTTGGGAAACACAGTTAGGGCCGCGATTTTGGTTCGACAGTTAACGTTGGTAAAGAACAGACTAAGAGAGTAAGAGACTAAGAGGCTGAGAGTAATAGACTAAGAGAATAAGAAATGACCAAAATGCCCAGGGCAAATCGGAGCTCTCGCCTGAGTCTTGACGGAATACGGCCATAGGGACTGAATTGACGAAAAACAATTATTTTCGGGGATCCAAATCGATGAATACGCGATTCAGGGACAACATTGACAAGTCGCTAATAACTAAGGGACCAAATCGTTGATTCACCCTTAAAAGAAACAATGTCATTTTTTTACCATGCTCAACTATATAATGATGGCATATTTTGTGTATAATGTAAAAGTAAAACTCAATATTTCTAATCACAGAAAAATGATAAAAAAAAAAAAAATTTACTACTAGATATCAAGTTAATTCCTTTTTTAGTCCTAGTCAATGCCGACCCTGGACATACCTGCCCAACCCCCCCCCCCCCCCCCCCCCCAACACACACACACATGGTTGGTTAAAATTTAATAGTTGAAGGACCATGAGTGGTTAACTTGGACCACGAATGGTTAAATTTGAAAGTCGAAGGACCACAAATGGTCAATTTGAAAGTTTTGAACTAAACGTGGCAAAACCACTATATACTCGGAGGACCTCAGATGGTATTAACTCATTAGTATAAATAGGTCCATTCTATATGAAGATGAGGAACCACGCAGAGAAATATATTGTTGTTCTAGTGTTTTATATTGAAGAGTTCTTCATTCTCTTTTGTTATATTGTTTTACTTTTGGAGTTACCGCAACTCGAATACGGATTGGAGCTAGAAGCCTGCTCGAAAGGTTTCTTCCGTTGCGTACTAAATCTCAGTACATAATATTGGTGCTCTCACTTGAGTTAGACTCTCAATGAGTTTCCACAGCATAACGATCGCCAGTTTTAGCCCTAATTCCATTTGTTCAATTATTATACAATGGACTAAAATTCATATTGCATTGTTGACTTTAATTGATAAAAAAAATTATATTTTTAAAGTCAACCTATTATATGATTTCAGTTAATAAATTATGTGAATATAAATAAACTGAAAATATATAATAAGTTAATTATAAAAAGCCAAAATTTTTATGGTCAAGTGATATAGTTGTGACTTTTCGAAATAAAATGTCACAAATTCAAATCTCAATAGGAAAAATGCTACATTAGGTGCCAAAAATTTTTTTTTGGACATGTGGACCCTAGTGAAGGATATAAATTGTTTTTGGCGCTGCTTTGTGCGGAGTACAGAGAGTACTAAGGCACTTGGCAATGTGGTCAATCGATTACTTACAGGTTTTTCTGTATACGCTCAATCGATTCTAGTGTTCGCAATCGCAGCCGGCAGCTCGCCGCCGCTACATTCTTCCGGCTATTTTGATTACTTACAGGTTTTTCTGAAACCGCAATCTACTGTTTGCGAGTGTGTATGTGTACATTCTTCCGCCTTTCGTTGCTCTTCCTCACACTACCTTCATACATTTAGGTTTTGATATTCAATATAGTGCGGTTGAAATTGAATAAATGTGATTTATTCCTGTGTTTCTTCTGATTATGTTAGAATTTTCTAAATTGTTGTCTAAATTTTAACTTTTTTCATGTACTGCGCACCTTCACAATCTAGTGGTTTCCGTGTTCATGTGTTCCTTCTTTTCCATCACCTGCCACATATTCATCTTCTTCATAGTCTCATCTAACAAATGCAACACAATATTGCTGTTGTGGTTCTTTTTTATTTTATTTTATTTTATGGGGTTTTTTTCATCTTAAAAAATGCCTTTATTAATTTTTTTTTTTTTAATAATTAACTTGGAACCTTGTAGTTACGAAGAACAAACAAACTAATTCGGTCAGGGTTGCCCAAAGTGTGTCTTTATTTTACAACGGTTTGGGTACACTAATCTTTTTGCCTTAATCATGCTTAATGCTTGTATACTCACTCGGCCGGGCTCGGATAGGGACTCCATTAATTTTGCATCTTACATCTTTCATAATTGACATCTTCCTGCCTGTGATTGAGACTTGCTATTGAATTACTATCTCCTAGTTCACCCATTTTAATTTAGGGTTATGTTTCAATTTTAATTTATTTAAGATTATGGGTCGTGGACGGCGGCTTAGAGGGCAACGGAGAGATGGAAATAGTGAGCTTCTTGCAGATACACGGAGAGATAGAATTAGTGAACTTCCGGCAGATATACTTGACAAAATTTTGGTGTTATTGACAACTGTTGAAGCTGCTAGGCTTGCTGTTTTGTCTACCCATTGGAGAAATGTTTGGCTCAATCTCACAGAACTCGACTTTGGTCATGACTTCTTTTGTCACATTCGGAAAAAATATGACCATGATGAAAAGGAAAACATTGATATCTGTACATCTATGAGTTTTTATGTGATCAACAAGGTTCTCATGCAACACAATGGAGTTATTCGCAAATTTGCCTTCAATTTTCCTTTTAGCACTGCCAAAGAGTTTAGTTATCGGTCATTTGGCTTTGACCAATGGCTCCCTTTTGTCACACAAAATGGTGTTGAAGAAATCGACATTAGTGTTTCGGACGAAGGTGAATACAAGCTGCCGAAATGCATATTTTCTTGCCTAACACTAAGGAGCTTGCGTCTTAATGGAATCTCTGTCGAACCACTAAATGCCCATTGCACATTACCAAATCTTACTTCACTTTGTTTTGAAAGTATTAACTTTGATGGTGGAGATCTTCTGCCTAATGTTCCTATGCTCGACAGTCTGTCATTTGTATTATGTGAAACTGAGTCTGAAATTAACATTACTGCTCAAAAACTTAGTAGTTTAGCAATCACCAGTATCTTTGTGCGCCAACTCTCTGTTAACTTGGGCTTGGAATCTGTTCGTACTCTTGAATTGGATTGTACTTCTCTCGAGGTATATTAGCTAGAGCTTTTTTTTATTATTTATTTCTTTAAAATATTTTATTTAGATAATTATTTATTTAAATTATTTGTTTGGAACTGATCCAACTTGATTTCTATTTGGTTACAAAGGATTTTGTTGATAGACTTACTGGAAGTGGACTACAACAACAACCACCTACACTAAATGTGGAACACTTGATGTTATCAAATAACTATGGGGATGTGGATGATGACATTTCTGAGGACATTTCTGATGCATTCATTCATTTGCTTCGAATATGCCCAAAGTTATGCCAACTTGATATAGATTTAGAAGTAATTTTATTTTCCTTGATTAATTTTTCTGTGAGATTCTATATTTCCATTATTATTATTATAATTGCATTCCTTAAATCTTTTATTTTATCTTATTTTTTTAATTGTTATATGTTTCTTTATGAAGTTTTCCCCAGTGGCCTGTAATTGTTTTTTTGATCCTGAGCGAAGACATTTCAAGGAATTTCATGCTGTTACTCAAAGACATAAATTGCTTCAGACTTTGAATCTGAATTCATTTAGAGGGGCTTACACTGAAACCCTTTTCATCATGGTGCTACTTGATAGCTTTCTGGCACTTGAGAAGGTTGTCATTACTCCTGCAAGATCAATGGCTGTCTGTTATGAAGATGCTGAATACGAATACTTTGACTTTGAAACTCATAAGTTGGAGCTGTTGGATTTTCATTGTGCCTCCACAAAAGCCAAAATTATTTTCAGCTCTAAGAATCCATAGTGTACTTCTATGGAATTGAGTTTGTGCATTGACTCGTACTCTATAGGTTTGGTGATGTATAACTGTTAGTTTGAGGATCTTTGCAAGTTAACTGTATTGGAATGCAACTTTTTTGTTTTCCTGTGGATATGGAGGGATGCTGTTTTCTTGTGCCTTCTATAACATTATAAGAATTTTGTAGGTAATTCGTATTTATACTTTAGTGGTTTAATTGTATTTTTGTGTGCAGTACACTTAGGGGTGGGAATAGGCCAGGTCCCTTGTAGTGGCCTACGTCCGGGCCTAATTAAGGCCTATCTAGGCCTAGCTCGTTTAGTAAAAAGGCCAGGCTTGAGCCAATTTCGAAAGCCTATTAAACTAAACAGGCCAGGCTTATATTTACCAGGTTCGGCCTTCAGGCCTGGCCTATATATATATAACCTCAAGTATATATAATTACCAAACTCTAACTCTCCACCTCCAAAATTCCATTCTAAATTATAATTCAACTATAAATATTGCTGTTAATCCTGATGTAAGTGTTTTTATTGTTTTTTTTTTTTATTTTTATTAACTGTTCTTACTATCATAATATTTCATAAAATGTCGCAACTTAATTATGTGAGTTGATTGTTAATTATTTGTGAGATCATATAGGATAACAAACGATAATACAATTGAATTTATTTCTAATCATGTTAACGATCATGTTGTAGTCGTGACTTGTTTTATTTTATATTTAATGCTATTATATTTGCGTTGTGTGGATATACTTATGTAACTATGTATTAGTTTTGTATTAGGTATATTTCTTAAATTATTTAGCTATACTTATTAAAGTTTTAAAAAAGTTTTAACATGTAGGCTTTAAATAAGCTCAAAGTATAGTAGGACTTGCTTTGAAGCCTTTTTAATGGCCTAAATATTAAACAGGCTTTTAAAAAGGCTTCAGGTCAGGCCAGACCAATTGTAGGCTCAGACTTGAACCTAACAAAAAGCCTACATACAGGTTCAGCAATCGTTATACCCTACGCCACGGCGCACATAGCACTGTGCGCCGCGCGCCTCCCAAAATGACGTCGTTTTGGGAGGCGCGGTAGGAAGTTGCTGGAATTATATGTATTTGTTCACACAGTTATGTGTATTTGTTCATACAGTTATGTGTATTGGTTCATACAGTTATGTACATTTTTTATAGAATTGTGTACATTCTTTTTATACAATTATGTACATCCGAATCAGAAAATTTGTGTGTATTATGTTAATAGTTGATGTGTATTATGTTAAAAGTTTATGTTTATTATGTATTATGTTAGATTATGTGTATTATCTTTTAAAAAGAGTATGTATATTTTGTTATATAATTATGTACATTCATGTATACAATTATGTGTATTCTAGTATAACATTATGTACATTCTTGAACAGCGGTTTTTTTTTTTAAGAAAAAACTACTGCCATTCACTGGGGCGGGAAATTTAAAAAAAAAAAAAAAAAAAATTAAAACGACATCGTTTTGCATCTGGGCGCATAGTGCAACGCGCGCCGTGGTGTAGGATATAAATTGCCCAGGTTCAGGCCCAGGCCTAGGCTTTAGATTTTCGTAGCAAGCACAGGCCTAATTTTTTAAAACTCGGCTCGACCTATTTCCACCCCTAAGTACACCGGCCTAATTGTTATGCTACTAAAATGAATTGTGTATAATGAAACAGACCCATAGGCATATTTTGGACAAATTTTTTTGTGGATTGTTGTTTACATGGACTATAGTTAGAACTGTGTCGTTTTAAGTTTTTTTTTTTTTTTTTCATTAATAATGGTAGTTGGCGAATTTCATTTCATTTTATGTACAGTGTAGTTTCATTATAACACCACTGAAATATTATTTTAATTCAATTACAGTTTCTGCTATTCAGAGTATTACTAAAGTATCATTATTATTTAACTACGTTCTCATTTGACAATATATATACTTAATATGTGAGACCTGTTATTTAATTTTATTTTATACAGTTTCATTATAGCATCATCAAACTATCATTCTAAATTTCTAATTAAACAACATTTTCATTTAATAGTATACATTTAATATGTGAGACTTATTATTCAATTTCATTATATGCACAATGTAGTTTCATTAATGCACCACTAAAGTATTATCATTATTCAACTACATTTTCATTTGACAGTTTACACTCAATATATGAGACATGCTATTCAGTTTCATTTTATGCACACTATAATTTCATTCCAGCACCACTAAAGTATCATTCTAATTCAACTACAGTTTCATTCGACAATATACACTCAATATGTGAGATTTGTTATTCAGTTTCTTTTTATACACACTGTAGTTACATTACAACAACACTTAAAAGAAATTAAGTGTGCCACATTGTAACAGGCGTAACAGTTGTCGTTTCTTTTTCATCTTAACTATAATAAAGCTATATGGTTTGGAAAGTAATTAATATTACAATTAATGCCACAACATCCTTTATTACAAAAAAAAAAAAAAAAAAAAAAAAAAGCACAACATTTGAAAAATAAAATAGCTATATATTATATAATCATATAAAAAATGTACTTTTGAAAAATAAAATAGCTATATATTATATAATCATATAAAAAATGTGTTCAATTAGAGTTTAAATTTACTCATACAAAATTTGAAATTTGCTTTCCAAATGTAATTATCTTAGTTATTATTTGTATTGTGAAAATTATAATATCGATGAAATACAATTATGAATAAATCAATGTAATTAAGTAAATTCTCTCTATAAGTTTATTTGAATATGCACATAATTAGAGATTATATTAACCATACAAAATTTTAATTTTAATTGTAATTTTGTATTCTATAAAAATAATAAATACTTGACCAATGGAAGCTCAAAAATATTATTATATTAAACAATTTAAAATATTTTAGTTTTTCTATTTTTTATTTATATTTATAATAACATAATTTTTTTCGTGCATCGCGCGGGTGAATTACTAGTTATATTAAAAGAAACAATGTCGTCTTTTTACCATGGTCCACTGTATAATGGTCACATATTTTATGTATAATGTAAAAGTAAAACTCAATATTTCTAATCACTGAAAAATTATAAAAAAGAAAAATGTAACTAGAATTTCGATATTGAACTAATTCATTTTTTAGTCTTAGACTTATTAGGGTTTGGACACTTTTAACCCACCATAAAAAAATTTGTCACGTTTTGGTTACTTTATTGTAATAGTGCCACTTTTAGTCCTCCATCCAATTTTCCATTTGTTGACAATCAAAATGAAGGGTATTTCTATCATTTCAATCACATTGGCCCTAACTAGGGTATTCACTGCAAACTTCAAATCCTCAATGCGGTTTTCCGGAACCAACTAGCGCGACTCGATGTGTATGCGAGTAGTGACCTGGAATTTCTCGATGTCTGGCTTGTGGGTCATCGAAGTTTTTTTTGGTAGTATTATCAATACCTCACCACCGAGGTTCAATCATTTGACCTTCTCTGAAGGAGAGTCACAGAGGTGTCTGTTGGATATTGGTGAATAAATTGATAGACAAAATATATATATATATATATATATATATATATATATATATATATATATATATATATATATATATATATATATATGTGTGTGTGTGTGTGTGTGTGTGTGTGTGTGTGTGTGTGTGTGTGTGTGTGTGTGTGTGTGTGTGTGTGTGTGTGTGTGTGTGTAATTTTGGTTTCGTACCAAAATTGGTTGGAATTAATTTTCTATAAATTAAATTCCATTTTTCATGATAAATATTATATATATATATATATATATATATATATATATATATATATATATATATATATATATATATATATATATATATATATATATATTAACCAAATAGGGATTTATTTTATCAAAAAATAATCACACCACAATTAGTACGAAACTAGTACAAGGGATTTAATCCTTACGAGATTAATCCCACCACTTGGTACGAAGCCAAGAACAAAAATAAAACAAGAGACGGGTTTCTAACCTGATGTTTTAACCCAACGAGAAGAAAGAAGAAGCAGAGGAAGTCTGAGTCGTGTGTACACACACTCTCGTTAAAACCGATTCGCCACCTCCCGAGGGTGCTAGGAGCGTTGTGGCGTCAGTCTCCCAAGATAAAACGGACTACGACTTTTGCGTTCGAGCACTCCAACCCAAAGTCCAGCGAACTAGAACACAAGCTGAGCACTCCGATATTTTACGGAATTGTTGGCAGAATCTTTCCTTCGTAGCAAAACAATAGTTGAGGGTGGAGAGGAAATAAAAATGAAGAATTTTGAGAGGTTCAAAATGCATGAGTTCGAACCATTCTGCCAACAACTAGTATTTGTAGGTATAGAGGAGTTAAATAGCATATTCATGGCACATAAACCAACATAAATAATCTAATTTAATAAAAGGATTATAACATTTGAAATGGTCATACTTATTATCGAAATAATATCAACGGTCACGAACTTAATATCCGATTAATTCGTACCAACCATAACGACCCGTTTCAAAATATCTGAGTGACCGAGAAGTCCGTACAAACCCGAAGGTTTAACAAATTGGGACCAAACACCACACCCGAGTGGTCCGCAAGCACCAAAACGGTGCAGCACGAATCAATGCATATAGCATTGACTCATGCTCACCAAATCCATAGCACGAAAGGTGCCTAAGCCAAAGATTAATAAAAATCAAAGGCACCAAAACCAAAGTTTAGAATTAAACTTTCAAGTTTCGTGCATGCATCTTTCGTCCCTGCATCATTTGTCCCAATTTGAAATTAAACTTTCAAATAAAGCTTAATCCAGTTGAGTCCAACTTTCGTACAGGTTACGAATTGTGCTAATTTTAATTAGCACCTAGCTTAAATTTTAACATCTCTCAAATAGGTTCACTTTGTGAATCAATTTCTCATTCACCTATTACCCTTTTTGAGCGTATATTATATCAAATTCTTCGTCTCACTACGAAGAACCTGAATCCATTCTGACCCAACCCAAATCGGAAGTGGACCCACATATATTTGTACCACAAAATAATCACTCAAAATGCCATTTTTTGCTAAAAATTCCAACAGTGTCAACTGAGCACAAAGTGCTTCGCTGGATCATCGGAGTTTAATTCGTTTTTTTTAAAGAAAAGATAAAAAGGGTGAGAAGGACAACATGTAATGACATAAATACCCTTCATTTTGACAGTCA